TTGCCGGGGGCATTCTCCCTGGCCCCTGCCAGCTTCTCGCGCGCCGCCCCTGGCCGGGGCCCTACGCGGGAGTTCAAGGTTGAGGGGGTTGGGTGCGCCGTTTGATGCTAGAAAGAGGCCGAGTTTTCTGTGATGGATCTGGCCTAGATGGCTTTGATGTCTGCGATCAGGACACGCGTTTTCTTGCAGGCTGTCACGGGGCGGCGCCGCCCTCTCTCTGCCCTGATCAGGCCACCAGATGCGTTGAACATTTTGCGAGTTTGATGACCGCCTCCCATATTGGAGGGGAATTCTCGCTGCACTCGGACTGTCGCGCTGCAGCGCGGCACCGACTCGCGTTTTGTTCGGGGGCCTGCCAACCCGCGAGTTTCTGCGGAGGCGGATTTTTCGAAGTGGAAAGTTCGAGTTGATCAAGTGGAAGAAAGTCAGAGCGCACTCGACCAGTATGGATGTGCGAGACGGCTGCATCTCTGAGTTCTACAGGGCAGGATGTGCCGCAGCAGATCGGCTGGCCAAGGCTGGCGCGGCCTTGGGCCGCCACGATAGTCCGACAGTATGATTGGTCAAAGGCATGCGTGCGCTGCACTGGTCAAGTTTGCGACTCGGGCCGGGGTTGTTCTATTCGGAGGAGGGGCGCTGTGACAGCGATCGTGTTTTTGAGGGGCAATTGGAGGCGGTGCGGAGGGTGGAGACTGCTGCCGCTGCCCTCGCCTCCCACGCCCTCCCCTCAGGACCCCTCGGAGCCCCTCCCGAGCCCTCTGAGGCCCTCGGCCCCGGGCTCTCGAGGCTTGCGGAGGATTCCCGCCAGAAGCCTTGGAGACAGGGGGGCCATGTGTTGCTTGAGTTCCCTTCGGTCTTGGAAGGCCGCGGTTCCTCTCGCGGGGGGTGCGCGACTGTCTCTGCGCGGGGCCTTAGGGCCAGCCGTCCGGGTTCCCAAGCCGCGCTGCTCGATCCTGGGCGGAAGAATAAACGGGCCTTGCGAAAATCCAAACATCCCAGCCGTTCCCAGGGGCAGGGCCTCTGGCGATCTTTTGTTGCGAGGGCGTGGGATTTTTTCCCGGGGTCCTTTGTCCAGCCAGGGCCCCTGCTTGCGTGGGGAGTGCGTCTGCTCCTCCTCTGCACGCTGGGCGCCGTCTGTGCCTAGCCGACTGTCTCCGGGCGTTCGGAGTGAATGAATGAAGCGGAGGCGGAAAGCCTCGGTGGTCATGTTCATGTCAAAGTAAGGGGCTAGGGGAAGCCTGTCGCTGGCCCTCGGCGCGCTGCCTATGCCGAGCCGCGCCGACGTGACAAACGGGCCCTCTCTGATGGGCCCACTCTGGGGTTTGGGCTTGGTCCGTCGGGATTATATTGCTTTTTGTTTTACCTAACAGCTCTTGCTGATAGGTTTCTAGTGGTCTCAAAAGAGAGCATCTTGACGACCCAGGGGGGTCTGGGCGGGACCCGGACACCCGGAACCGTTCCAGGGTAATTCCGAAGCCTGAAACAGGTCGATGCCCTGGGGGGCTTCATAGGGGCGGGTTTGGAGGCTGTCTAGGGGGCCATCTGTGGGCGGAGTGTTCCAAATGTCAGTTCTTGCTCTACCTTCGTTGCGGCCTCTTGGGCCCCTCGGGGGGGCCGTCTTGAGGCGATCTTATGAGCCTAGTAGATCGTGCTGGGCGCCATTGCAAGCAGAAGGCATTAGTTTACGATGGTCATGCGCGAACTCAAAGTATTCAAAGAGATGGGTTCATTGGGCCAGCCCCCAGGGCCTCCACCAAAACGGCCCAAGAGGCCCCGAATAGAGCGCCAACGTGGGCCCCTTCGACCATGGCACGTTTGACGTTGAAGCCCCCACCTCGAACATGCTTCAACCTCGAACATGCTTGGGTCTGCGAGGCTCTGACATAGCTCTACCTCGAGCTGCGTCAGAGGTTCCCGAGGTCCCTCACAAAGTCACGCGGAGATGCTTGGGAGCACGAGAATTCCCAAGACAGCCCAGGGCATCGGGGTCTGAGCCCTTTTCTCGAGTGCACTCAGTACGCAAAAACTCGAAGGGATCCGAGGACAACCCATACAATGCCTACAGTGTGGTACAGATGTGTCGTGCAGACACGGCTCCATTGATTGATTGAGTACGGTGAAACAGTGTTTTTGCACGGCATACGTTGTACTGGATCAGGGCGCCGCGCCCCGAATCGACCCACCCTCTCGCGCAGCACCGCGCCACAGCTCCACTTTGACCCCGCGCCCCAGCACACTTTCCCTCACACGCGCCCCCTCCGCCACCATCTACGTGTTTTCACACGGCACGCCCAGCACCGCGACACGGCGCCGCAATCCAGCACAAGTTACCCCCGCGCCCCGCTCAAGGCACTGTCGCACGGCGCCGCGCGCCAGACCCATGTGCTTCCGCGCTCCACATGGAAGCCGCCCGCGCGTCGTTCAGCCTCGACCCACTGCATTTCCGCACGGAGCGCGCGACACCGACGCACGGCACAGTGGGAGTCCCACCCCTTCTCCACCCAGACCCCGTCTGATCGTACGGCACGCACTGCCTTGCCGGGTGGCACCCCGCCCTGGTCCCATAGTTTCGCGCCAACCCTTCCGCCCATACCATGGGAGTTTCCGCGCCCATTCCGCCCATGCCTGTTTTATGCCCGCACGGCACGCACGGCACCGCCGTACGGAACCGCAATCCAGCGAAATGTTTCTCCGCGCGGCACCGCCGCACGGCGCGGCGCCCCAGCCCCGTGTGCCCCCGCGCCCCACGCAGGATTTACCGCGCCCCCTTCCAACCAGACTTTTTCTCGCACGGCATAAGCCCATGTTATTTCGCTTTGATCTGTTCGCCACCCACGTAGGACCAACCGCGCACCGCGCCCCCTCCATTTCACGGCGCTCACGGTGCCGTCGCGCGGCACCGCGTTCCAGCCCAAAGGTTCCCCGTGCCTCCGCATCATGTTGCCTTTCCCCGTTTATTCTTCCGCATTCCGCACGCCACGGCGTGGAACCATGGCACCATGTTGCCGCAGCCAATTTCCCTTCCCCCCCCTGGCCGCTAGACCTGCTCCCCCCTCCACAAGTTCGCACGCTTCCTCCGCCTCGATTGTTTTTCTCGCACGGAATGGCACTACAGTTTCGGCCCACCGCAGCCAGCTCCCGTCCTCCCAAGGCTTGTCGGAGCCATCCTATGTTTTCTGAGCGAAATTGGGCGAATAGAGACCATTGTTTATCCACCCGAGGGATAACACGTGTTACCCCCCCTACCCCCCCCGAAACGGTAACGTTTTGGCCCGGTCCAGTGCTCGATTTTGGGCAGCGTAGGGCATGTGGTGCACGCGGGCACTACTAGTGCCGCGGTGCACGCGGGCGTGCACTATGGTGTACGCAGGCATTGCGGTGTACGCGGGCGATGTGGCGTATACATCTGTCGTTGCAGCAGCAGCTCAGTCATAGTGGGTGTATGCAAGCATTGCGGTGTGCACATCACACGCCCAGTGGTGTACACAGGTGCCGTGATGTACACGACCGCCGTAGTGCGCAAAGTCGATGTGATATATGCGTGCGTTGTGGGCTATAGTGTACCCACGCATCTCTTCCTACTTGTTCCTCCTCTTCCCTCTCCATGTTCGTACTCCTCGTCGTCGTCCTGCTTGCGCATGCAGGACGCGGGCATTGGTGTACACACGCAGTGTGGTGCACACAAGCCCTGTGGTGCACACAGGCGTTGTGTTTCACAGCCGCTGTGGGCTCAGAATGTGCAAAAGCGTTCCTCGGGCCAGAAAAATCAATAATCACAATCAGGTCACATATTGTTGAAGATGATACATTTGGGCCCCCAACGATTTCCCGGACGTCGGCTCCGCCGTGGCCGTAGAGGTGTACACGAGCTTTATGGTAAACGCGGGCACTGGTGCACACGGAGGGGCGCTGAAACATCAGTTGTGGTGTCAATAATCGCAGGAGTTGCGGTGCAGACGGCTGCTGTGGTGCACACAGGCATTGCAGTGTACACAAGCCTCGAGATCGCAGCTCTGCCGTCTACTCCCCAGGTTAAGCCAGAAGCCAGGGTTCTCGGACAGGGCGCTTTCGACCTCGTCGACCTGAAGCTCACCGCTGCTTTTGACAGGTGCTTTCGCGCCCGCCCGCAGGGTCGGCGTGCGTGCGCAGGCACTATGGTGTACAGGGGGTGCTGAAACAGCAGCTGTGGTGCACGCAGGCGCCGTGGTGTGCACAAACAGGGGGATGTACAAAGGCGCTGTGGTGCACGCGGTCGGTATGGTGTATACAGTCGCCGTGGTGCACAAACACATACCGTTTCTGTAGCAGTCCTGGTGCACAAAGGCCCGTGTTGTGTGCACAGGCACTGTGGGCTTGGACGGCGAGGACGGTGACGACGACGTAGGCGGCGCGCCTCGGGGGGTGCGCGCCGCGGCCCCCGTTACCGTTAATTACCCCCCCTCGCCTCCCCCGCCCCCCAGGGTAAGACGTAATATCCCCCAGGAAGAGACAATGTCTTCATGTGGGGGCAACCTGGGAGTCACCTGGGAGCATCTTCTAGAGCATGCTGAACGAATCTAGGGGCAGGGCAGACAACTTGCAGCCTCTGAGAGCAATATTGTGGTTCATTGGCGGCGATGGTGGGGACGTATTTGGACCTCGGGGGGCACGTTGGGGCTGCCTTGGCAAATCTTGGAACCATCGGGCCTCCGTGGTCCGGCTCGAGAGGATCTGGGAATTTCAACGGCACCGTAACGGGTACTTACTAACGGGTACTTTGAATTTTTGCCGAAAGTTGGCACTTTAGGGCCTTTTTCTTGCATTGCAGCTTTGCCCACATCGGGAAGGGCTGGGTTCGCTGGGTCACTGGCCAAAGTACCCGTTAGTGGAGTCCCCGTTTGAGGGGCGCTGAGAATTACCACAAATGGCGATAAGCAAAGCGCACTGTTTTTTCAGGAAGATGTACTTGACGCCACTTTGAGCTCTCAGCACTGTTGAAGGCAGTAGGGGGTGTCTCGCAGGTATATTGTGGCATCTTGGAGGCGTCGGCAAGCACAGTTTCACCTGCTAAAGGTCGTCATGGGGGATCGCAGGAATAAGATTGGAAGCTTTCTGCACAGTCTCGTGCAGTGGGGTATGATTGGGGGATGGCGTTTTCGCGATAGAGGCGCAGCGGCGCCTAAGCCTTGAGGCGGATGATCAGTGATCTCGGGAGGGAACACATGATCACAATTGTCTTGCATGGTATTATGCGGCCCACTGCAGTTGACCGGCACATCTGTCCTTGCGCCTCACGGTGAGGCCCTCACCATTGCCCTTGTCTCGTCGCACAACATGTTGCTGAGCATACGACCCTTGTTGCGGCACATTATGTCCCACTGTTTTGGAATCCAAGCTGTTGACCAAGACCGCAAGCTTGTGCTCGTTCATTCATGCTACCTTTTTCGTCGCACATGTATGTCATGTGTTCCAGAGGTTGCATCAGCATCTGATTGCCGTCCCCAAACTGAGGCCCACGGCGAACCGGATTCTTTATTTCTGGGAAGCTTTTTGTTCCCAATCATTGTATGGCAGGCGCGCTGGTCAACGTTGCGGTGCAGTGGCGCCGTGCCATCTATTGGATCTTCCGTCTTCGATTTGCAAAGGCCTCGAAGTGGCACTCACTCGGCGAGCTCCCTCTGATCGAGAAAGGGAGTCCTCCTGCGTCATCGCACCTGCTGTTGGAAAATGTGTCGTGAGTGATTTCTGTAAAAACGTTCTGCGATTACGGACAAGTCAAGACCCGTCTAGTGTCGCGCGCCTTTCCCCTCCCCTCGGCCCCACTCCTCCCTCTCCGGTTGCCCCTCCCGCTGCTCACCGATCTCCCTGGGCATTCGCAGCGCGCGCGCGCCCATTTGCCGAGAGGTCTCGCGAGCCACAGGAGCTCCACGCGACCGACTTCGTGGTCAGGCCGTGATCACGAGCCGACGGCATCTGTCGCCCCAGGGCGCGGGTGGAGCCACATGCGTTCCCCTGTTTATTGGGTCGGACGAAAGGGGAGATCGGGAACGGCGGCAGACTAACTTTGCTGCAAGCAGTTGGTTTCTTCCCCGCCGCAGGACGTCTTCCCCTATGTTTTGGCCTGGGCCTCGTTTACAGAAGGCCCCCACCAAAGCAACCAGCCAGTGCCGGGGGGAACAGCTCATACAAGAACTCTCAAGATTCTGTTTTTGCCCGAAGGCGTTGCCCGAACATCTCAAGAGCACGTGCTTCTTATTTCTTTGCCCAGAAGGGCTTTTTTTGTTTGTGTTTGTGGGAAGGATGTGCAGCGCTCGTCGTCTTGAACATGATGCTAAACGCTGACTGGCACATGCGGGAGCGAAGCATGCTCTGTGGAGAGTTGTGGGTGTCTTTCATTCGCCATTGGTCGCGTCGGCCTTCTTTGTTCGTTCTTGACGAGCAGCCCACCCAGCAGCAGTGCCTGGGCGAAGTGTCTTGATCAGGGAAGTGCTGGATCTTTCAGAGGAACGAAGTGTGGGAAAACCTTCAAGCCGAATTTTCGATCAGCCTGGGCACGCCCAGGAGTGAAACACATGTGCGTTCGCGGCCCTGCCGAGTGAGGAAGGGCGAAGGAGAATGATGAGGAGGCGGAGGGAGAAAGAGGAGGGGGAGGATCAAGAAGACAACGATGAGGAATAAAGACAAAGGAGGAATGAGGGAAGCAGGAGGAGGAGGGCGAGGATAGGAGGAGGAGGAGGAGGAGGGTGAGAAGGATGGGGGAGGAGGGGACAGCGACCCCAGGCCCCACAACTTCCCTTGACCGCGACGGGAAGGGCCGCGGCGCGCGCGGCGAACTCTGTGTCAGAACATACAGTTCGCGCGGGAGGCAGGGCCTCCGCGCACGCGGCGGCCTCGGGCCACCCTGCGTGGGAAAACGCAGTGCGCGCGAGGGGCAGGGTCGCCGTGCGCGCGCGGCACTGGCGCATTCCATCCTGCGTTCAACATAGCAGTACGCGCGAAGGGCAGGGCCGCCGCACGCGCGGATGCTGTGGCCCAATCTGTATGGGAAAACACCTGAATGCGTTGGAGAACCCATTATGCGCACATGACGTTCGGAAGTCGCAATATTGGCACATTTTGTGTTGGAGACGGCGGCCTGGTGCCTATTCTGTATCGGGAAACGCAGTGCGCGCGAGGAACAGGGCCGCGCGCGGCGGCCTTGGCCCATAGTTCTCCGGACAACACACAACGCGCGAGGGGCGGAGCCATTCTGTTTGGAAAACACCGTACGCTCCAGGAACAGGGCCGCCTCGCACGTGGCGGCCTCGGGCCATTGTGCGTGGGAGAGCACAGTACGCGAGAGGGGCAGGGCCGCCGCTCGCGCGCGGCACTGGCCCATTCCATTCTGTGTGGAACAGTATTGTACGCGCGAAAGGCAGGGCCATCGCGCCCGCGGTTACTTGGCCCATTTTGCGCATGGAAGCAGAATATGCGCGAGGAGCACGGCCGGCGCGCAGTTTGGCACATTCATTCAGCAGGGGATAATCACAGTTCGCGCGATGGCCAGGGCTGCCGCCCGCACGTCACATTCGGGCCGCGCTGCGTGAGAAAAACACCATATGCGCGAAGGTGCAGGGACGCCGCACGCGCGGCTGCCTCTGTCCATTCTGCGTTGGAAAAATCCATTATGCGCGCGGGGCAGGGCCGCCGTGCGCGCGCGGCTGCTTTGGGCTACTCAGCGTGTGAAAACACCCCGCGCGAGGGGCAGGTCGGAATTAATTTTATGCGCGAGGGGCAGGGCTGCTCCGCGCGCGGCGACTTTGGCCCGTGCTGCGCGGGAAAAAATATTACGCGCGAGTGGCAGAGCCGCCGCGCGCGTAGCGGTCTTGGGCAGCTTCGTTTGGGAAAGCACCCTGCGCGGGAGGGGCAGGGCCGCCGCGCGTGCGGCGGCCTCCGCCTTTTCTGCGCGGGCCAGCGCGGCCTGCGCGAGGGGCGGGGCCGCCGCGCTCGCGGCTTTCTGGGCCCATTCTGCGCGCGGGAAGACATTGTTTGCGAGGGGCAGGGGCGCTGCGCGTCAGTTGCCTCCAACAGAACACCACCGCTAAATCCAGGGTGTCAAGGGAACAAAAAAACAAACCGCGTCGGTTGCCACGATCCACCGACCTAGAACTCGGAACCAAACGCTGAAAACATCAACCTGGGCTTACGCCGATAACCCTTTTTTCCAGCAATCATTTAACATAAACAACCCGAGCTACTGATTTCGTAGCACGTAAATTGGAGCCACCAGTGAAGGTTATTACTACTCAAGCGAATTTAGGAACGTCCAACCGAATCAATAACATGCGACCAGCACGCTGGAAACCTAATCCTCTAATCAGAGATAGGAGTGTGCCTGGCCAGTTCTGGTCGTTGCCAGCGTCGCAGTGCCACGCTGGCGCGGGGGTGGGCATCCGCGGGCAACGCCGGCGAGCAAGCGTTCCCATCATCATTCTCATTGTCAGATTCCACAGCCGTTTCGGGCCCATCATCTCGAGTTTGTTCTCTTTCGAGCTGTGTCTTGGAAGCGCGCGATGTCGCGCTCTCCTGCGCCGTCGGCGCGCCCGCGGCGCCAGCTGGTCAGGCTCGTGGAGAAGCCGGAGAAGCAGCAGCGCGTGCGCCAACGCCCAGGGCTAAGGAGGAGTACGATAACTACGTCCTGGCGCTCAACTAGCTCGAGGCCAACCCCCCCCTTCGGTGCGCGCGTGGTCCGCGCGAAGGATTTGCCCGAGGCGTCAGCCGCGGGCGCGAAGGGGGGCGGCGCCGTCCAGGGCGCCGCCGTACTCCGACGACTGGCGCGCGAAGTGCTTCTCCTTGAAGTTGAGGCTCCGCTTGGCCGCGATGGCCCAAGCCATAGCCAAGAAGTGCGACGGCAGGCCCCTGCGCCACATCTTGAGTTCCATTATCAACGCGACGCTCTCGGCCAAGCTCCCCAACGAATGCGCCGACCCGTCCATCGTGGAAGCAGCGCGTGACGAGCGCATCGCTGACGTCGGCAATCGCCGCGAGATCGCCGACGGCAATTACTTCTGGAGAGCATGCTGCTTTCATTCTGAGCGACGGCAAGGTGAACTACCTTTTCGGCGCGCGCGCCGCCGGGCGGAACAGCGAGGGCCTGCGCGTCGGCCTGATCCACCGCCCGAGTGGACTTAGGGCGGGCGTCTCCGCGGAGCTCGGCGTCGAGCGGGAGACGTACGACTCGATGGACAATTGGTTGGAGACCAAGGTGGTGGAATCGTCAGCTGTGCGTTGCCTCCTGTCCAGGCCCTGTTGCGCGTTGGACCAGCGCCCGGGCACCCTGCCTGGCATGGGCCAGGGAGGGGCCCCAGCCCCAGTCCAGGGCTCGGAGCGGGCCTGGTCGGGTTCGTCAATTTGGAGCCGTCGATGCCCATGAGCTTGCTTCGACAAGGACAGGCAGCAGTACTGGGCCTGCTTGAACTTCTTCCAGGACGAGAAGAAGCCCACGCACACACACACACGCACACGCACACCCAGCCGTCGCTCAATGGGAAGGCGGCGGCGCCCCGCACCATCGCGGATGACATCGCGAAGGCGAAAGCCGATGATGAGAGCACTATTGGAGCCCCCGCGCCGAGCGCGAGCCGCAAGCGCACGAGTCGCGAGGAGACGCAGCAGAGCCAGGCGAGCAGCGAGAAGGCCCGCGAGGCGCTCGCGAAGCGCCGTGCCGAGGCGGAGACCAGGCGCCGCATCTCTCTTTAAGGGCGGCCCGGCGTCCTCGGGGGCCGTTGCAGCCGCGGCGGAGCCCCCCGAGTAGGGGCCGAGGATAGGATTGGTCATGAGATGCCCGACTCGGCCCAGAGCGCGATCGAGCGCTGCTGCAATTTCAGTCTCGGGGTCTTGCGTCTTGCAACGGGGGGCGAATCCATGCAGCAAGATACGTAAACCAGCGCGCTGAGCGCTTACAGTCGGTCTGGCGCCTCATCCTCGGGAGTAAAATGGCCTGAGACTTGAGATGCCTCATTCTCTTCCTCGTCCTCCTCCTCGCCCCCCTGAGTCGTCGGTGCAATCCCCATTCCCATCGTTGTCGTCATCCGTTTAGTCACGTGCGTCCTGGACCCCTTGCGGTTGTCTGGAGAACCCCATCCCCCTCAGGGCCCTCAGGGGGGTTAGCTACCGTTGCCATCGCCATCGCAGCGCACGGCGCGCTTACAATAATCTGGTGCAGATGAGGAGGCTAGCAGAGCGCCCATCGGGGTGTAGGAAAACGGCGCAAAAGAGACTCAAGCGAATCCTGTGGATTTGTCTGGTGATCAATTCCCACGTTTTTTGCGTTTCCACGCGGCCCCGCGAAGGTAAGCCAAGGCGCCGCTCAGCCCCCCCGCGCGGGTCCTCAACAGAGATGGCACACCGCCAGGCGCTCGCACTGCGCGAGCGCAGCAGGCCACACCCGCACGAATCAATCGATACAGTGACGCAGTAAAGCAGCCCCCGCCCCAGTGTCAAAATGTTTGCGGAGCCAGCCAGGCTTGCAGCGTGAATGGGGCGGAAGCAGAAACCTGCACTTCTCACCACCCCTCCTTTCCCCCGCTGGGCGCCCCCCCCCGCCCGCCCCGCCCCGCCCGCCCGCCCGCCCCGCCCCGCCCCCGCCGCCGCCGCCGCCGCCGCCGCCGCCGCCGCCGCCACCACGCACACACGCACACACGCACACACACACACACACACACACACACACACACACACACACACACACACACACACACACACACACACACACACACACACACACACACACACACACACACACCACACACACACACACACACACACTAACGCGCGCACACACATATACACACGCGCGCCCCCCCCCCCCCCCCCCCCTCGCGCCGATAACCCCCCATCCCCGCCCCTCCTCGCCCCCCTCCGCTCCGCGGCCGCTTGGGCCCAGAAGGGTTTGTCTCAGGGCACTTTGACTTAAGGCGCGCGCCCCGCGCCTCACAAGTTTGCATTGTTGTTCTCCTTGTGCTCGTCGCGCTCGGCAGTTGGATCTGGCGCGAATGGCGAGGCCAACCGCTGAGTTCACGCACTTGTGCTAGCGTTACCTCACTGGTAAGTGCAGTCCCAGCAACGGCCTGACTCTCGAGGCCATCGAATTGCCTGTCGGCCGTTCGAACTCGCAGCAGACGACGGGAGTTGGGCAGCAGTCGAGCGCCGCGACGGGGCTGGGCTCGTCGAGGTGATCCTGCCAGAGGGCGCCCTCGCGAAGGCGGTGCGCGTCGAACAGGGGAGCGGCGAGATTGTCATCATGCAAACGCTCTTGGACGGGTCTCTCCTGCCGTAGATTACAGGTTGGCCGAACGCATGACAGCGCGTGCCGAGTGCAAAATTCCCATGAATTTGATGGACGTTGGCGACCCGCTTGGGTTTGAGCGTTGCACGCTGGCTCACCCTCGGCATGGATTTCGGGCGTTCTTCAGTGCGTTGGATTTTTTTCAAGCGCGTGATACTCACAACTGTCCAGGGTTTGCCGTCCAAGTGGGCGTGCCAAAGCCAAGCTGCATGGCGGAAGCTGCTTGATGGTTTTCCCAACCATCCTGCGGTGTTGGCTCCTCGTTTTAAAATGGCAGCGCCCCGCGTCACTCCTTCCTCCCGCTGCCCTCCCCCCCCCCGCTTTCGAGGGCTGCTGGTGGGTCCTGCGGAGTGAGGCGCCGCGCGGACCAGAACGGGGCCTCGCCGTCCCTGGGGGTCTGCGATCTGCGAGACTGCCGCCGCTTTCGAGGGCTGCTGGTGGGTCCTGCGGACTGGCGCACCGCGCGGATCTGAGCGGGACCTCGCCGTCCCTGGGGGGCTGCGATCTGCGACGCCGTCGCCGCTTTCGAGGGCTGTTGGTGGGTGCTGCGGAGTGAGGCACCGCGCGGATCCGAGCGGGACCTCGCCGTCCCTGGGGGGCTGCGATCTGCGAAACAGTCGCCACTGTCGGGGGCTGCCGGCGGGGGCTGCCGGTGGGTCCAGCGGAGCGAGGCACCAGGCAGATCTGAGCGGGACATCGCAATCTCCAGGGGGCTGCAAGCCTCACGAATGCCGCTCGCAGAAGTACATGCGCCCCCGTATAACGTTTCCCACGCTACTCATGCCCCGCACTGCGCAGGGGTTCGGTACGTCGCCAGGGTAAGTTTGATTCCGATGTCCGCTCCGCTTTGGCTGGGACTCCCTGGATAGGAGGGGCGGGCACGACATTCTGTAAATGTTATGTTTTTGGTCCCAACCATCCTGTGGTATTGGGTCTTCGTTTTGAAGAGACGGTGTCCCGCGTCCCTTCCTTCCTTCCTTCCTTCCTTCTTTCCTTCCCTCCTCCCCCTCCTCCCTCCCCCCCATCCTTGTCTCTGCTCTCGGCACACCTCTCACACGCTTCGTAGCCCCGTAGGGAGCTCCACCGAAGGTCCCAGTGATGGGGGCGCATGCGGTTCCCACACCCAGGGCAGCGCTTCGTGGCCCCATAGGGAGCTCCACCGAAGGTCCCAGTGAGGGACGCGGTTCCCACACCCAGGGCAGCGTTTCGTGGCCCCAGAGGGAGCTCCACCGAAGGTCCCAGTGAGGGGGGGCGCATGCGGTTCCCACGCCCAGGGCAGCGCTTCGTGGCCCCACAGGGAGCTCCACCGAAGATCCCAGTGAGGGGGGGCGCATGCGGTTCCCCCACCCAGGGCAGCGCTTCGTGGCCCCATGGAGAGCTCCACCGAAGGTCCCAGTGGGGGTGGGCTCATGTGGTTCCCCCACCCAGGGCAGCGTTTCTTGGCCCCGCAGGGAGCTCCACCGAAGGCCCCTGTGGGGGTGGGCGCATGCGGTTCCCCCACCCAGGGCAGCGCTTCGTGGCTCCATAGGGAGCTCCACCGGAGGCCCCAGTGGGGGTGGGCGCATGCGGTTCCCCCACCCAAGGCAGCGCTTCGTGGCCCCATAAGGAGCTCCACCGAAGGCCCCAGTGGGGGTGGGCGCATGCGGTTCCCCCACCCAGGGCAGCGTTTCGTGGCCCCATAGGGAGCTCCACCGAAGGCCCCAGCGGGGGTGTTCGCATGCGTCTTCCCTGCCCAGGACAACGCTTCGTGGCCCCATAGGGAGCTCCACCGAAAGCTTCAATCGGGGTGTTCGCATGCGTCTCTCCCACCCAGGACAGCGTTTCGTTGCCCCATAGTGAGTTCCACCGAAGGCGCCAGAGGCGCAGTTCGCATGCGTCTCCCTCACCCACGACAGCGCTTCGTGGCCCCATAAGGAGCTCCAGCGAAGGTCCCTTGCAATTCGATTGTCCGTGCAAGTTTCGGCCAACTCTTCGTTTCCCATGATACAAATGTGTTGGGTACGTCACAGGGTAATTCTCCGATGCCCGAGCTGCTCTGGCCGAGCCTCGTGGGCAAGTCGTAGTAGCAGTAGTAGTAGTAGTAGTAGTAGTAGTAGTAGTAGTAGTAGTAGTAGTAGTAGTAGTAGTAGTAGTAGTAGTAGTAGTAGTAGTAGTAGTAGTAGTAGTAGTAGTAGTAGTAGTAGTAGTAGTAGTAGTAGTAGTAGTAGTAGTAGTAGTAGTAGTAGTAGTAGTAGTAGTAGTAGTAGTCAGTAGTAGTAGTAGTAGTAGTAGTAGTAGTAGTA